GGCATAGAACTGTACTTAAGTAAAATGACAAAGCTATGCTAGTTTTCAGTTTAGTCTTTTGAAATAAGTTAAACAATATTCTAGTAAGATCTCTTTTTTCAAATAAGATAAATAATGTTCTAATGCTTAACATAACAGAGAATAACAGAACAACAGAGTTGGAAGGACCTTGGAGGTCTTCTCATCCAGCGGTCGCCAACTGGTGGGCCGTGAGAAAATTTTGGTGGGCCGCAGAGAAATCTCACCCCCAGAGCACCCCCCACCAAAGCAATTAATCCAGGCTGCGCAGAAACACAAGGCTGCGCTATCCACGTGGCCTGTGGGAACCTTCCCTGCCCACTCACTCCTTACCCAGAAAACTTGCCTGCTAAATTGCTATTTTTCCTTTTTCTGACCATCATCTGTTCTACTGTGATGGGAGATTTAGATTAGCTAGGAAGCAGGAAATGGTTGGATTTCTTCCTTTCTAGCTAGTCTTTAGATCTTCAGTTCTCCTTTTAAGCACAGCCAAACCTCCCTTAGGACTGAACTTTCTATTATTCAGTGCAGACTCATGGCAAACAAATTTTATGTGACAGACTGAGCTAGCCAATGGCAGATAGATAGAACACTGAATGAATCTGTGAGCAACTCAATCTGCTTGCTTGCTTTGCTTGATTTTGGGTAAAAGTTGCTCTTTTTTATAAAAATTCAATATTTATATAAATATTTATAATATTTACATACAAGGCATGCCCAGCCAGTCACATGACCACCAAGCCACACCCACAAATTAGGCCATGCCCACAGAACCGGTTAGCGGTCCCTGGGATTTAAAATTATGAGTCTGGTGGTCCCTGAGGTCCAAAAGATTGGCGACCCCTGTTCTAGTCCAACCCCCTGTTCAAGTAGGAGACCCTGTATCATTGCAGACAAATGACTGTCCAATCTCTTCTAAAAAATCTCCAGTGTCAGAGACCCACAACTTTTGGAGGAAGCTGTTCCCCTGGTTAATTGTTCATTGTCAGGAAATTTCTCCTGAGTTTTATGTTGGTTCTCCCTTGATTAGTTGCTTCCACTGCTTTTTGTCTTGCCTTCAGATGCTTTGGGGAATAGGATTGACTCCCTCTTGACTCCTCACTCCTAATCCTGCAACTATTCTTCATATGTTTAGCCTTCAACCCCCTAATTATTTTTGTTGCTCTTCTCTACACTGTTTCTAGCTTCTCAACATCTTTTTATACCATGGTGACTTTTGGTACTACTACCAAAAGTAGTAGTAACACTTCACATGACCTTGATTCTATTCCTCTCTTAATGTACTCTAGGACTTCCTTGGCTTTTTTGGTGTTTGCAGCACTCTGCTGGCTCATATTTAAGAGATTGTTCACTGGGACTCCTAGATCCCTCTTGCAGTCACTGCCATTGAGCTGGTACCACTTATTCTGTACCTCTACATTTGGTTTTTCTTGTCTAAGTGTAAAACCTTTTCTCACCATTGAATTTCATCCTGTTAGATAGGGCTTAGTTAGCCTCTCTTCTGGGGTGTAAGTATTCCTCTCTTACGTACCTATATACGAGAGATGGTAATAGTCAGCAGTTATTCAGTCAGCATTTACATGAAGTGGCAAAAAGTTCCTTGACACATTTCGACACATTTATCACACTGCTGCTTTGATAAGCCCAAATTTCTTGGTTTCCACACCCAAGGGCACTAGAGGGCAGTGTGGCAACATAAATGATTATATTGCACATTGCTCAACTTGGGTGGGCATGCACTGATTTCCACATTCAGGGCAGATTCAACCTGGAGAGGTGTTAGTGGCAAATCCTTCAGTTAACTGAGAAAAATAGTGCAGTGTGAGATGAGGATAATTGCACACAAGGGGATCTAATGCTAATGTGCCAGAGAATTATGGTTAGCTGCCAATTCCTGATAGCCGTGCTAAAACCTTTCAGAGATATTAGAATCAGCTGACCACCTATTGAAAATCTGGTAGATCAGAATCATTCTGATTTAGACAATGGAAAAGTCCATTTCTTTCAAACCAAACTGTATTATCTTAACTACTATCTCTCCAGTGCTGGGGATCAGCTGATTTGTGAGTTTGGAAACTGGCAATTAAAATCTTCCATTTTCTCTACCATTCAGACCAAACGTCTGTTTCCTATGTTTGGAAAAGTGTCAGTCAAGAGAGAGAGAACTTGGTTTTTCACTTGTGAGGATTTTCCTAGACAACTAAGTTCTAGGTAGGACATGAGACCTGGCACCTTTGAAAGCAGTGGCTCTCCTCTCTTAAGCAGGTATCAGCTGCCTGGGAATGATGTCTCATCAATCTGATAAAAGCAGCAGCATCCCCTTCTGATGATTATCTCATGTTCAAAACAATCAGAATTCAATATTACAGTGCAAACTGTCTTCAGCAGATGGAGTATAGAACTGCATCCAGAGAACAGATATATGTGAGAGTAATGTAGGTTCCCAAGTGGACCTGGACTGTTGAGCCTTTCCTTGCACAAAGGACCTCTCAAAAGACTGACTACCCACCACTGTAGACTTAAAAGTGATGCAATGTTTTGTGGTCCTAGCCTGGACTACGCTGTTTCATGCAACAGTATTGGAATTCTTGCAATTCATGGACTTTCAGGTCTCCATAGATTCATTCTAAATCCTTGTGGCTCCAAAAGGATAATTAGAAAATTAGAACAACTTACAAGTTCTTATCCTAGCGTTGCATTTAAAAGATTGGGTTTTCTGCCAAACTGTAATGTTTAATATGAGCAAAAATGGAATTGTTACATGGGAAGTATAATATACATATGAAAATAGAACCATCTGTCATAGAAGAAAAAAAATCAAACTTTGTGATACTAAATAAATTACCAGGTAAATTCTCTTAAAATTTTATTACTGGTACACTATTAGATTTTAGCTTTTGCAGAAAGATAAATGGGTAGCAAAAGAAAAACAACAAAATGAGATAAAACTTTTTATTCTCTTATACATAAGATATTAATTATTTTGAAAGCAAACATACAAGAAACAAAATTATTGTTAAATGTTCATGTGCTAGTTGCTAACAATAGGTTTTTCCAAAAGATATGTTCAGTCTCAGAATCATTGATTATAAGGATATGAAAGTTTCTTATCTACTGGAAGCTCTTGTCAGTTTGTGTATATTATGCTAGGTATGCAAATATATTTTAGCCATGTAAATTTTATATTTTTTGAAATCCCACTGTATCCCACTGGTTTTTTTTTTAATGTTTTGGTCCTTTATATCTTTCTTCTTCTATATGAACTCAAGATGGTGTACATGGGTGGGCCATAAAGTATTTCAGATTCAGTTCCAAAAAAGTAGCTTGGAGCACATGGAAGTGCCAATTGAGCATCTTGTCTACAATTCTTTAAAGAAATTTGATTTTTCTTGGACCCTGTTGTCTAGAACTGTCATATGATATAGGGAAAAATATAACTCCTTTAATTATGTTCATGTCCCCAGAAGCACTTTTAGGAAAGTGAATTTGAAGCACTAAATAGCACTAGTACATAGAACTTCACTTTTCACAATTACTTTGTAGAATAAGTTGAAAACTAAAGATCTACCCATTCATCAAATCTGCTTCTGTGGGTCCCCAAGTCTTTATCTAACATCTTTACTATAGCCTATAACAACACACTGAAACAGTCAGAGGACTCATTGGTATAGTGGTGGAGGAAAGTAAGGAAGAGTCATGCTAACTGAAAATGTTTTGTTTATCTGATGAACTCTGCAGCTCAGTAGGGCTGATTCAGTGACTTACTTAGAAATACGTAACGATGTAGGTCAATGTAGATAAGTTTAATATAGCATAATAAAGTGAACCCAAACCAGAACTATAATCAATCACAGCAAATATTGGAATTGAACATATTATGTTTATTAAATAAGCATATGCAGTTTGTTATCCACACAAAGGTCTAAAAAAATCATTAACTGACTTATTCCCTTGTGCTACTGTGAAACTATAAGCCACAGATACTGTTTGTGGTAAGGAAGCTGTACAGTTCTGGATTCCCCAAAAGTCAAGCAAAAAGAGCTAATCAGTTTTAGGTTTTGTTTGCATGCTGGAGTTAATTTTATAGCTCATTTATATTAATAAATCTATCCCAGTTTACTTCCAACACTAGCAACTGTGAGAAGCCAATTAAATTAATATCAATTTCTTACAGCTGGGATTTGTCTCAGACTTCATATGAATTTATTTGTGCTGATTAAATAAGAACATGCTAAATTTAATTTTAATTTCAGTAATTTCATGTGCACCTCCTCAATAGTAACCCAGGTAGAAGCACATTACAGTCAGTTGAATGTGCTTCTGTCATGGGATTAAGAACTCAGTCATCCTAATTACAGATACAGAACTTCACAAAGAGTTAATTTATAGTTGTAATTAATCTTAGTCTCAGATGGAGTAATGGTTAACATTAGATAAATTAATTCAAATTTTTGTTGTTTAATACCAGGATGGGTGATACTCAGCTTCTCCTTGCCTCCATTTGAATTTTTTATATTATCAGACCTTGATTACAAAAATTACAACAACTACTGTACTATATAATATAAATCTAGATATAGATTTTAAAAACATTAAATCCTTGCTGCCATCTGCTGCTCATTAGACTTCGCAACCCAAGCCTGGTCATCATAAAACCACACGGAGAAACAGAGATCTTCTTAAAATCATTTCTTTAACCATATATAGATAGATATAAGCATGCCAGCTACCCTAAATCAAGAAAACAGTTTATTCTTTCTATAATCTTGTTTCTTTTAATTTCCTATTGTCAAGTTATAAAGTATTGAATGCTACTTGGACTGTTCACCTAAATTAATTCAGTCCAGGAAATCTACAGCTGCAAATATTTTAAATGTTCAATATTAAACATATTAGAGAATATAATGAACTATGTTCTAAATTTCAGAAGTTACTATTCTCCTGAAGATTTATTTATGGAAACACATCAACATGACTTCTTGTGTGTAAACATGGAAATCATAGACATATTATTTAAATATCCTAAAAGAATTGTATATCTTTTATTCATCTCAAAAGTGAAGAAAGTGGGGTTTTTGGCTCAAGGTATAGGTTTCTGGACAGAACTAAGTTTAAGCCCAGTGATTTCAAATAGCTAAGCATTGCCTGAATGTGGGCCATATTTATTTCAGGAATGCAAATTGTGTCATCACTGCTCTTCTAAGGGGAATTGATATTTGAAATACCTAGAAATACCTAGATTATATTTACAGCTGTACAATACTGATATATATTTCTAAACATATTATAACCCATCACATTAGGAGTAATTGGGGTTAGGGTTAGTTTACAAACCAACATCTTTTATTGCTTTTCCTGATATTTACATTTTACTACCATTGTTCAATAACTTCTCGATGCTGGGCTTAAAAGTTTTTTTTATGTTCCTATGTGCCAATTTCTATCCAGATTACAGACGGTAATCAGCTGGGAAGCATTTTTACAAAGTCCTATTAAAATGATAAAAATCTTCATTTCAAACATTAGTGGATTTCTGAGTAGTTTTGCTATGTAAAACAGTTTATTACATTGTTAGATACCTCTTTGTGTATTGCACAGGAATGAACCTATCTTCAGCCACATATCTTCAGCTATGCAAGAGATATTTCGCACTTTTACCTGTTGCATGGAAAGCTAAACAATGTGATTCCCTGCATGTGTATATACTGACACACACCAATATAATTTTTTGAGGCAAAACCAGTAGACATATTGTGGTTTCATGTTTTCTGCAGGTAAAATGACAAAACAGTTACTTCTAAGTCATCCTGAAAAAATGAGTTTTTCTAAGATTAAAACACCATAAATGGGTTTATTATTAACAAAACCAAAACCTAATGCCAAATAAGAACGAAGTAAACACATGAGATATAATACCACCCTTCTCCATAGTGGGTAACTATAGCCATATCTAATAAATACGGTTTATTTCCTACATTACTTTTCTCTTACCTGTACCCCACTATACTCACAAGTATAGAGGGAAAGGTCCATACTCAAGACCTGCACAAAAGAAAGAAAAATTTTAACAAAACTTTTTAATTATGTATGTGTTGATAGGTGGGATTGCTTGAAAAAAATGTGAATAAAAGGATGGATGAGGATAAAACTACCGTGGGATAGTTTTACACTCTGATACAAAGGATCTCATAAACAAGAAACCAACTTCCATATAAAATCAATCCAGAAATTGGAGTACTGATTACAATAATTGTGGGACCAAATTATTGAACTTTCCCCAAAGAAATGCATATAGAGAGCCTGGCAGGGGGAAACTTTATTAAACATTTTCTTTGTCAAATTCACATACAAAATTCATTGTAATGTGACAAGCCACATCATTCCAGCCCCCAGAGGTGATCATTTCTACACAGTCCTCCTCATCATACGCATTATTTGGTTCACCGGTGCTCCACTTGTTGAAGGTCTGCATAGGGGATCGGTCAGAGTAGACAAAGCTGCCTTCCTTCTCAAGGTCATTAATGCCAATGAAAACTCGGCTGAGGCCAGCTTGATTGATGTAAGAAGCAATGAGATTATTGGTGGCTTCATCCTTGGGCATGCTCAGTGTCCCTCCTCTTCCTTGGCAGTAGAGCTGGGCATCCACATACCGCTTCTGTTCTTTCACCAGCAGGTATGTCTTATTATCTGTCTCACGCACACCAGCAACAGCTGCGGGGGAGGGCAGTGCTGAAAAGTGACCACTTGCATTTCTATAAACTTACTTAATGCATTCCATATAAGACAGACACAGCTGACCAACTAAAAAGCAAGCCAGGTTCTTTGGAAAGCAAGTCCTTTTATTTAGGAGGGGGGAATATATTTCCATAAACATGCCTACCTTTTTTAATGAACTTCAGCTCTGTTGTCAGCAGGGTCACTTGATTATCCATTTTACCAATGGCTGTTCGTAGCTGGCCACATTCACAAGGAATACCTAAAGTATAAGAGCAGTCTAAAGGCCTACTTAATGGAACATTCTTTTTCCATTAAGCCCAACCCAATTTTGACAAATGGCCCATAAACCAGATATAAGTGCATTACAATAATACTCTTTCTTCGGTGTTCACCAACAGCCAGGCCTGAAAGTCATATAAATTCATATTTTGATTGTTCTACTTTGGCTTCAAGTGCTCATCTTCTCTACCCAGGCTTCCCCATGGAGAAGACCCAGTGGTGGGATTCAGTTTTTTTTTACTACCGGTTCTGTGGGCGTTGCTTGGTGGGTGTGGCAGGGAAAGGTTACTGCAAAATCCCCATTCCCTCCCCACCCCACTAACCTGCTTTCCAGCTCCGTTCTCCTGTGCAGGGCAACCAAAGAAGACCCAGCCAATCGGGAGGCAGAGAATAGATGGGGGCGGGGCCTGTCAGAGGTGGTATTTGCCGGTTCTCCGAACTACTCAAAATTTCCTCTACCGGTTCTCTAGAACTGGTCAGAACCTGCTGAATACCACTTCTGAGAAGACCCATGGGAATAATAACTTTTTTTTTTCCTGAACAGAGAACTCTGTTAACTGTATTTAAGCAGGGCTTTTCTGTTCTGATGCAACATGACCACATTAAGGATAGATTGTTCTCATTGAGATTCCTTCCTGTAATTTCCTGTATAATAGGAATATATGGTAAAAACAAGACACTAGTTCAAGCGTACAGGTATTCCTCGATTTACAACAGTTCATTTAGTGACATTGCAAGTTACAACAGCACTGATAAAAATGACTTATGATCATTTTTCACACAACCGTTGCAGCTTCCCCATGGTCACGTGATCAAAATTCAGATGCTTGACAACCGACTCATATTTATGATGGTCATAGTGTCCCAATGTCATGTGATCACCTTTTGCAACTTTCTGATATGCAAAGTCAATGGGGAAGCCAGATTCACTTAACTGTGTTACTATCTTAAAAACTGCAGTGATTCACTTAACAACTGTGGCAAGAAAGGTCACTTAACAAATGTCTCACTTAGCAACATAAATCTTGGGCTCAGTTGTGGTTGTAAGTCAAGGACTACCTGTATTAGTGAACACAGGAAGAGGACTTGCACAAGTGTAGAAATTACACAGTCCTAACATGCCCTGTCATACTTTCTTAAGCCTATTTTTAAGACACTAACATTGTTCACTTAACTCCAGAGTTTTATTAAATTGCAAAATGGACTTTGAGAGTTAGTCAGCCAGTTCTGATATTATTTACCTGGATCTCCATTAGGACCAGGTGGACCTATATCTCCATTATCTCCTTTTTGTCCTAAGAAAAAAGACAATTGAACTTATCAGCAAATGAGATTTTATCCAATATCAATACATTATTAAGCTTAGATATTATCTTTACCATACATAACTGGGAAAATAATGTCAAATGAAATCAAATGTAACATACACATAAATGTGTTTCAAAATCAAAATAATATACTCTTATTGAATTACATTGTTCATTTCTTGAAGAAAATACATTCCTGCAACTAAGGAGTAAAATGTAAGATGCTTCAGGATTTCAGGGATGTCTTCCACTGTCATGGCAACGGCACCAACAGCCCTGCCCAGAAGGAGGCCATGTGGCTACTGCTGGGCCACTTCTTCTGCGGCTGCTTGCCGCAGCTCACATGCGACGTCCCTGGCCTCCATTTCACCATCAGAGGCCTTCAGGAAAGGCCTCTGCAGCCAAGAAACGAGTTCTGATGCATGCGTCAATCCAGACCTTGTTTCTTTGCTGCACAGGCCTTTCCTGAAGGCCTTCAACAGCGAAATAGAGGCTGGGGCAGCACGCGCTAACAGTGGCGAGCTGCCTCAGAAGAAGTGGGCCAGCAAGGCGAGGCAGGTGTCAGGGTGTGCAAGGCCTGGTTGCAACTGCCCGAAAGTAAGTGGGTGTGGGACACATAGGGCAGCTCCACCCCACCCACCCCCACCGTAGCTTGATTTTTACCCATGCCTCAGCCTGTGCAACCAGGTGCAACGGTTAAACTTAATATATTGCTCAAAGTTTAATACAGAATGAAGAAAAATATACCTTTTGAGCCTAAGGGACCAACTTTTCCATGTCGCCCCATGCTACCTTTCTGCCCTTTGTCTCCCACTTCTCCTATAATATAAAAAAAATCAAAGGCAAATAAAGACTTCTGTTTTTATGAACTTCTAACACCCTATCTGTCTACATTATAGCATGTCTTAATTAAAACTAAATCTAGTTAAAGCTGAAAGGAACAGAATGTGCAAGAGCAAAAAGAGGATAAAAAGGAAAGGGAGAATGTGGGTTGAAAGAATTACTTCCAGTTAACCATGGTCCACGGGGAAAGTGCATCATATTTGCTTGGAGTATACATGCTAAAGAGAAAAATTTAACACAATAATGATAATTCAAAGAAAATCGTGCACACCAGCATGTGTTTATTAAAAAAAAAAAGCTCCAGATAAAAAGAATCCATCTTTATTATTGGCTTGTGTCATTTTCTTAGAGCTTAAAGCTTCAGAGATAACAAATTGCAAACAATGCTGATTTTGGAAAGTTTTACTTGAGAGATGTTTCTCCCAGTCTTTTCTATCCTTCCAATCTGGTCAGGCTGGATGGGCATGTTTTGTATCCCACTGCCTAAGGAATGCCGGCTGGGCCCAGAAGATAGGACTTTTTTGCTGTAGCACCTGAGCTATGGAACATTCTCGCTATGGAAATAAGGCTAAATATGGAATTGCAGTTTATCAAACACAAAAAATGAAGAGCTTTTCCAGATCACTGCGTGATTCTTAACTCTTTAATTCTTTCAAGCAGTAATTTTTCATCATCTCCAGAAACAATTATTATTTGGGGCAAGATCTGGTATCTTTCCCAATAATGAGGTTGCTATTGCAATCAGGGTGAGGTTCTGCTCAGCAACTTTGGGTCGTTTTGGGCTGCTATTAGCTTGTCCACTCCCCCCGCCCCCCATTATTGGGAACACTTTCCTAATTCTAGGCACCAAAAGAGGAGGAACAGATCTAAATGTTTCAATATTTTGTATTTTCCATTACAAAACTCAATCAACACAATATATAGTAATTCTCAAATAAACCATTCCACATACATGCTAATTTTAATAAATCAAAAAAATTTAAATTGAATTTAATTAGGTACAAACCTATATATGCAACTGTGACATTATGAAAATATACACAAATAGTATATTCTCCATTTACTATTAAGCAATATTAATCCAATGCTTAATCCATTTTTAAAATAAGATTTACCTTTTTCCCCTGGAGGTCCAACTCGCCCAGGACGGCCTGGAGCACCTTTTTCCCCCTTTTCTCCATTTTCCCCTATTATGTAATAAAACATAAGGTAAAATGAAACAAATTATTCAAAATTCAGTGATATTATGTTCAGAATTCAATTTTTGTAATGAAAATGACAGCATCATTAATATTGTTTGTCCTGTTTATGTATGTAGTGTTCTTCTCATCACTTCACCATCTCTCTCAATTTTTACATTTAGAAGGTGTTTTTTTTTTTAAAGGAAAACAGAAAAAATAGGTGTTTTACTACAGAACTTCAAACTTTATAGACAATGGGAACATAATGGCTTTCAAAAAGCAAGTATAAGAGAAAGTTATATACAAATTTCAACTAACAGAAGGGGGAAGTAGTCTGGCTTTTGGTTTGGTCTGAAGAAACTAGAAGGCAAAAAGAAATCAAAGTTCTCTGTCCCTCTTTCCTGCTACCTTGTGATTGTCCAGGTTTTTCCCACGAAGGATGTAATTATATTTGATCTGACTATTGATTGCATTATTCCACAGCCAGAACATTCATTATATTTTCTCCTCTAAGGAGAAGATTATATTTAGTTGATACCTCAAGGACCTACATCATTACTGAGCTGGTAGCTATTATTTTGTTTCAGATAATAAGCCACTCTTTCCAAACATGTTTTTTCAGGGGTAAGCAAATACCACTACTAATGGATCACAGGATGACCCTCATGCATATCACTCATGTAGACAAGGTTATTGTAATTACAGTAATAACAGCTGATTATTACTGATCAGATCCTCTGCATTTACTCAGTGCCTGTTCTGTTAATGTTTTCTTTAAAAATGTTAAGATATCAGGTTCCTTGACTTAAAATACAGTATAGAACAAGGAGTATAACATCACACAACAAAACCTTGAAATACTGTACCTTCAGATATACTAATTAAATCTAATCTTCTCCTTAGGAGTGACAATATAAGGAATATACAGGGTATAGAGTGCAGTTGTCAAGGTCACTTTTAGCAAGTAACCAGAGTCTACCCAAGGTTATTGTCTGAGGTAAAAATGTATTATCCTTCAGTGAAAAGTTCAACACTGTTAATGTGAGTGCCTCCCTCACCTTACTGAGAATAGCTGGAAGCAATAGCAAGTGTAGAAGTGTAGCTAAAAGCAAGGAAGGAACAGTAGGGTACAGCTACTCTCTCCCATCACTACACATTTATTGCCAGGAACAGCAGTATCTATCATGCTACCTAGATTTTAGTAATAGCATCTCAGACATATGGTCATTTCAGATGACATGGCTCCTTGGTTTAACGTCTTAGCCCTCTCAGAAGCTGCTCCTAACATCTCCCAGAAGAAATATGATTGGTCTGCAGTACTAAGACTCAAATTGCATAGAAGTCAAGGGCACACTGGATTTCAGCCAACAGATGAAAGACTCTATATTTCATTAGTGTGTATCTAAGCCAGGGAGATATCCCCCCTGACAGTTTAGCTCAGACACTGATGACTTTTTAGAGATTTTACATTAGCTGCAGACTTCGTAGGTAGGTCATTTTGTGCTTCACTGCATTTCTGCATCAATCTCCCTCGCCATTATGACTACAGCTTCTAATTAGAGAGACTGTGCTGAAGCATGAACAAATTTGTTTTTTTCCTTCAGGCTTTCATATTTTTAGTTTTATATCTCAGTGTTCCCATTTCCTTGATAAAAGAGCAATTATTATTAGAACTCCAGAATCATGCATAATTGTTAGCCTTGGTGCGTCATATTTTAGCAGACTGTTTTTTTGGGGGTTTTTTTTGCAAAACACTGCCAATTGTTCAGGCAAACTGAGCAAAGTTGTGCAGTTTTTCTCATCGTAAAGTTTCAGTTTTCCAGATCAAGAGGGGAATGAAGATATACTACTTCCAGTTTGATTTCCAAAGAAGGGGTCAAAATGCAAAGACTGGGCCAATAAGAAATAGCATATGAAACTGCTTTACCAAGCAGACACATACAAACACCCCCATTTAATAATATTGTCCACTTTTTTTCTTCTATAAGGAGCCATATTCTTTTTTGGACATTGAGAAAAATCAAGACACATAGGGGTGTGTAGAAATCAGTGCTTTTCACTGAGGAAGAGACATTCCAGAAACCCAAGCAAGCAATCTGGAAAGGTGTCCAAGGACAGACTGCTGGAGCGGGTGAGAATCACCTATGTTTCTTCCTCCTCCTCCCTTCATATCCCTCCCCCGTTGTCAGGGCAATCCACCTGCCAATCGAACAGCAGTATTGGGGTGAGGCAAGAGAGAGAAAAGACATGATGGCTGCCTGAGAGCTCTGTAGCCATAGGCTAAATAAACAGAACCAAAGCCCAGGAGTCAAAGTAAAAGGGGAAACTTAAAGTTAGACAGCACACATGAGAAGATACAACAGAAAAGTAGGCAGCAGCTGAGAAATGTGGAAAGAAAGATATGTTTTTTTCCTTCCCTCATACTGGCATGAGGCTAAACACTCTGTGAGCCATTTTCCTCAGACGGAGCAAATATTTGCAAAAATGGGAAAAGAATGAAGAAGCCCTGTCAGGAACAAAAAGCGGGAAAGATTAAGAAAAAAAATGACTTATTTGGGTGAGAGATAGAAAGCAGAAATCAAAAAAAGATTGAACTCTGCAGAAAAAAAGTAGAACTCTAAAGAGAGTGAAAAAGACATACATACATACATACACACAGAGAGAGAGAGAGAGAGAGAGAGAGAGAGAGAGAGACGGGGAGAGAGAGATATTCAGACAACAGAAATAGAGAGGTCATCAATAAACAAAGATATTGGAGATATAGAAAGATATGAGATTTTTAAGCTTTCTTTTTGAAAAATAAGTCTCTTCAATTAATTGTCCATGTTTCCAGCACTTTGTATGTATTAGAAATTCATTAATATAGTTATTGGTGGTTTAAAAAAATGTGTCCATGCTTTCCCATCATACGCACAACACTTCAACAGAAAGAGGTGAAGAAAACAATGGCTACATTCATATCTTATTCTAACCCAGGTCTTGTGGAACAAGAGATGCTGGGTTCAGATTATGAATAAGCACAACATGGCTTATAGGCTGAACTCATTTTTTATTTATTTACTCATTAAACAAATGTATATCACCACCCAACTCAGACACAGGTAACCCTAGCACCCATACATTAGTCAAGATTGTTAAAGATATTCTGTTAAATAAACCAGACTCAATTTTACAACTGAGAAAAGCAACTGTATTCCATTAGTCAATTTCTGCTTTATTTTCTTCCTTTTTCCGTATTCCAAGCTTCCTTACAATAATAAAAGACTGCTTATTCAGCTCAGGATTTAAGGTTATTGTAGCCTTACAATATCTGTATGAGAAAGTTAGGAAACTAAATCCTAACTTAGTTTATTTGTAAATCATACCAATGCTTTCTCTGTTTAACAGCTTTTTTCTTCTGCATAATTGCTCAGTCCCTAGTTCACAAGTATTGTGGGACAAATATTATTATTTTTAAATTTTATTTCGTCTCCTTTTTTAGTTACTCAAGGTGGCAAACATATCCAATTCTTCTTCTATTTTTCCCAACAGCCCTGTGAGGTGGGTTGAGCTGAGAGTGACTTGAGTGACCCAAAGTCACCCAGACAGCTTTCATGCCTAAAGCAAGACTAGAACTCACAATTTCCTAGTTTCTAGGCCAACACTTTCAATATTAGACCAACTGGCACTTGAGGAGAAATCTTTATAAGAAAAGAAGAGAGAATGCATATCAGCAAAAAAGAATGTATATTAGAGAAATAATCTACAATTATTTAATAACAGATGTACATAAAATAGAAAATATATTGTGTTTAACATTTAGAACAAAATAACCCTCCACAAATTGTTCCATTAGGATGTTTCAAGTTGGCTGTGTTCTGCAGATAAAAACTTGAAACAGCTTGAGCAGAAGAGCATTTTTTCCCCTAGGTCTCCTGAATTAGTTGGATGGGAGACAATAGTGATTACTACATAATACACAAACGGCCAAAATCTGATATAAACTATTCTTTTAAAAAGTTTAAAAAATAAGTATGGTATCCATAGGAAACGCAGCAGTTTTCTCACTCAATGAAATATTTAAATCAGAAGCAAGCATCCCATCCCCCTTCTCAAGCATAGAACAAACAAGCAGAGGTCTTTTCAATTACTTTAAAGAAACTCTAGGTCAATTGGTGGTTTTTTTTTTCATGAGTGCAAAAAAAATGCTGGTACTTTTTAATTGCGTGAATAACTCTAAAATAACAAAATGCAAGAAACAGGCACGGCCATTTTAACTTGGAATGTTTTGGATATCTTATTATAATTACACTGCTTGGATTCAATTCAAGGGTACATTTTGGAGACAGGGAGCTATTTCTAGAAACACTGACCCAACTATGATTCCATTTTTAGGGTGAATTCATGAAGATGTCTTTGAAGCAGTAAGAGGCACCACAGCACTTTAAACAAACTTTTATTGTGGCATGAGTGTCTTCAGAAAACTAATTTATTTCATCCAATTCATTGAGCAAATACAATAATAGAGTATACAATGGAGAATAAGCTCACTAAACAGTTAACAAGAATACAAAGATTACATCCTGACATTATCAAAAGAAAATACTCCCCGCCCCCCCAATCTACATTAATGGAATACAGTGAAGTGAAAAAATAACAAAGACTGCTTAACTCCAACTTGGGGCAACTGTTGTAGCAATCATTCAGCTATATTTGTGTTGATAAGAGATTTGATGATTTTACTTATTCCAGTAGTCCCTATAATATTTCAACAATTATCTCAAAATCAGAGGCGATATACCACACATGACAGTTTTCTCTAAAATCTTTGGTCAAAAGAAGAAGAATAAAAAGCTTATTCCCAAATGGTTTCTATTTCTTCCAGAATTAACCATCAAATGTATGTGAAGGTGTCATGTTGTCCTTTATTTTTATTTTGTATTGTAAGGCCTCCCAACTTCATTGCAACAGAACTACCATTTGCTTACATTGTTGGCGATTCTTATTTTCATGATAAAGAGCCCAGCCCTGTTGATAACTACATATAAAATTATGAGCCATGGTGGTGCAGTGGTAAGAGTGCAGTACTGCAGGCTACTTCTACAGGCGACTTCTGCTGGCTGCCAGCTGCCCACAATTTGGCAGTTCAAATCTCACCAGGCTCAAGGTTGACTCAGCCTTCCATCCTTCTGAGGTGGGGTAAAATGAGGACCCAAATTGTAATGCTGACTATGTAAAACCACTTAAAGAGGCTCTGTAAAGCACTGTAAAGCAGTATACGAATCTAAGTACTATTGCTATTGCTATTGATGAAGCTACTAAGATAATCCAAATAAGTTAGTAATATTTTTCAGAGTTTTGACAATTCTAAACACAGAATATGACCAAAGTAGAGAAGAGCAAATCACGAATAACCAAGCATACCATTTCCAAAATATCCACTCTATCTAACCTTGCCCCTCTGAAATATAAATGATTAAGTAATCACAGAGTCACAGAAGGGGTCAAAAATGGCAACAAACCAGCTAATATGTATAAAATAAGGACATGAAATAAGAGAAATAAGGCCTGTTATTGTCCTTCAAATTCTACATTCTGTTTATGCAAATTAGACTCATTCTCTTGTAAAATATTTGTCAGTTTTTTGTTGGTGTATAGCAGGGGTGTCTAACTCGCAGCCGGCAGGTCAGATGCATCACCTGCTGGCCATGGCCACACTATTTTAGTGAAGGGAGGGAAGTCACAATATATCATGTGATGACAACGTGACAATGTGAGTTTGACACCCCTGGTGTACAGGTATCAGTATGTTCTAAGAAAAATGAAATAGTATAAGTGAGTAACTAAAAGCAGAGAAGCAGAAAATGTTTTCAGGGCCAGTATCCAAGAAAATTAGAAAGATATACTTAGTTTAGCGAATAAGATTTGTGTGGCTGTTTATTGGGAATTCTATGGAAGGATTGTTTATGACCATCCAAAGCCCTCTATGGTTGTTTGCTTAAGCAGCAACTCAAATGACTGTTTCATTATTATAGGCCAATTGCTCCAGACAAGGAAAAGCTTAAGAGAAAAGTTGGCCTATTTCACTAAGAGAATGCAATCCCACTGACAATTACTAGAATGCCATCAGATCAATAAAAACGAAAAAGGAATGTCTGATTATTTGTGGGAAGAGAGATGCATATTACCTTTGAGGCCTGGAACCAGAATCTGAACAGAGCAGGATTCCTCTGCAATATGCTGAGCATATCCAGATCTTGGAAGAGACAGGAATGCAAGGCTAATTACAGAGACAAAGAAAACCAGATCACTCTTCATAATGAGCTTGTCCCTTACTCCTAAAGGGAGGAAAAATGAATAAACCATTAACAGGGATTCTAAATATTTTGGACAGTTCTAATGTGTTCACTATCTTCTAAGGACACCATAAACTTTACAGCATATTAATAGATATCTTTAATATATGATAGCTTGTTAAGTTTCAAAGTTTTTGGTAATATATTTTATTGGGAAGGGACACTCAGGTTTAGCAGAGTGAGAGTCTGCAACACAAATATATTTTCCCCTAGATCATAATCTATATTTAAGCCAACAGAAAAGAGTTTGGCTTGGTATACTTGTTCAAAATCCGCAGAAAAAAAGGAATGGCCCTTCATACACACTCACAAAAACAAGATTGGAAAGAAAAACCTAATTTAGTGGAGGATGAGAGTGATCTACATAAAGGTTCCCTGGGGAAGTCGTGAACACAATTCCACACTGTTAAAAAAATTCAGTTGAAGGAAAAACAAGAATCTTTGGGAAAAACCCCAAATCCAAATGATATGATGGGAAAATGTATAAAATTACCTTTTCCTGCAGTTTTAAGTCAACTAAGAGAAAGAATAAAGACTAAGATCTTGTTTCCGAATGAAGCAAAAACACCTGTGCCTAGAGTTGTGCAAGAAAAAATGGCAACGCATTCCTCGGTTTTCAGTTACTTCTATCAATCTTGATTAGTTCCCCTAGCAGATCTATTATTCATCTTAATTTCTGCTCAAATATTTTATGTGTGGGTTAGGGTACACATAACAGTATAAATATACCATTCCAATAATAACTTGATTTGTACAATATGCTTAAATACAAACTAACCACAATTTAGTACTTTAGCTGAAGCTTGTAATTAATGTGTTGAGTGCATATCATTAATTTATGATTGAATGTCTTTCTTGTAAACCAAGAAAGCTCTGTTAAATAAGGATCAGCATGAATTAAGCTGCTGTGAAACACATTATATAGATTCAGCAAGCTCACGTTTATTGTGAAAGAACCCACCAGCCTTTGATATTAAAAATAAAATAAACCAGCATGGGGTAGCTGACAAGGATAAGAAGCAACTCTTCCTCCTTTTTGAATATTGCTTTTTTAAAAAATTAACTACAGCTTAATCTCTTCATTCTTTTCTCAGGTTAGTGAATCAATAAGTTTCAGAGCAGCTTGGCTTTTCCTGACATCAACCTTTCGTATGTATTGAACCAGCCATCATAGTCTATGCAACATATCAGGAGGGTTGTGAAAATACATGGTTGTACCTATCAGAACTGACCTATTCAGTTAGTCTCCAAATACAGACAGATGTTTGTAGACATACAGTTCTACATAGTCGGGAAATCAGAATCTACCTGTGTTTTGGACAGTGGCATGAAATGCTTAATATAAGTATTGCGATTTTGCTTTAATAAATTTATGTATTTAATAATACATTTAATAAATAAATCTTTAGGAGGATGGTATAAAAAGGATATGGAAAGAAACAAAGAGTTCTATTTTGTCTGTAACTTATTCCTCTCCACACTATTTGTTCTTTTGTGAACTAAAAAGAGTTCTGGAGGTGGGAAATATATAATTCATTGTACAAATTTGTTTGCCTTAGAGGGAAAACAGTCAGACAATTCTCAATGCCTACAGAAACAGTTGCACTATTTTAAATACATCCTTTTCTATGATCGTTTGTTTTCTTATTTTTTTCTTGCTTTTCTTCATCTCCATAACATTTTCCTACTTTTATTTACTTTTATTTGCTTCTTCCCATTTATTTGCTTTTTTTCATTATTTCCAAAGCTCTTTCACCTTCTGTTTTTGTTTTTTAGATTTAGATGTCCTGTTTTGTTCCTTTTCCTTGAAATAGACTTATTCGGAAATAGCACTTAATTTTAGCTAACTGTACCAAAACATTGGTCCACATCTTTTTTTCCAAACCAGGGGGATCTATTCCAAAAATTGGTTAGCAATCGTAATATAGTACAATAAACTTGCTTGTGAGAACACACAGGGTATCTCACACTCAATCCCGAGTGATCACAAAGTACAGTCACAAACTTGAGGTCAGGGTTCAAAGTTAGAGACTATAAATTATAGCCTAGTTGGAAGTGATAATTTTATGGTTTGCCTACTTGAAGAGGACTGGTTTAGGGAAGGATGCTCCAGATCTCTAGCAGCTGCTTGAAAGGAAAAATTAAATCTGGACTACTGTATTTCATATTCTTCAACCAACACTTTATAGTCCATATTCTATACTCCTTAGCATTGTGGGCACACATGAGAGGGAAGAATCAGAGCTGAACTTTTCAATTCCAGATATTGTAAAAGTTGTGAAGATAATGCTTTGTGCTTTTGTAGCATTTTATTTGCTGCTTAAATAAAAAAAACCTCGCTGTTCTCCTTATGCATTCTGCAACACACTCTGTACCAAGAAACAACTCATTTATAATAGAACAGCATAAAATAAAAAATATACTCCTATGCAATCCTGAACACTATAAAAATCAATTTCAGATGTTCAATAACTTTTTCAATGTAAAGACATGAGCCAGTCTGTATTCTATGACATTAGATGACCTACATTGCAACAATTCCAGACTGATCTCCCCACTCAGCCCTGATCTAAAATTCAGTACTCCTTTTTATCCAGTTTCCATAAATATATATATATGTATATATTACGCAGCCTACTCTCTTTTAAGCCAGGCTTTTGGCGGGCACAACCATCTTAGCATTACGTACCTTAGATTTGCTGAGAGAAGAGGCACTGTAGCTGAGCTGCTGACTGAAAGGGCACTGCACCACAGATGGACCTCATTGCTACTATTTACAAAAGTCCGATAGGTTTTAATTTGAAGTGGGCTCAACTGCTGCTCTTCGACCATCCAGCAAATCAGGCCCAACCGTTTGCAAGCGTTATCTATAAACAGCTTCCTGTTTGAAACAGCTCAGCTGTCCAGCAGGACGTTAATTAGGAGCAAAATGTGTGGGAACGAGGCAACAACCCATGATATAAACGGCTGCTTTTGGCAGGGTGCATTTTTGGGAATGCAGGACACTTCTCTTTTCGTCTCTCTCGCCTTCCCATGAAAAGAAGCCCCTTCGTTAACTCTTTCATGCCTAGTGTCAGATAGCAGCCATGTGAATAGGATCCTAGGAGAGCAAAGGTCTTCCTTAGTGCCTTGCTTGGGTTGGGAGCATGGAGATTCATTATATGCAGATATTTTTAAACCCAATAACATACCTATTCTAAACTGGCACAGTCCTGGATACCAGGACCTCCTTCTGCAGGAAATGTGGATGGTTTCATTGTTCATTTCTGAAAACATCACTGCCCCTCAACATCCTGCAGGATAAAGTCTCAGAAAAGTGCCCCTAGTCTGGCATAACTACATTAGAAAACAAGAGCTGAATCCCCACTATTCCCCACTCCAAAGCAACATCAGACTGGGACAGAAAGACACTTTCTTGATATTTTATGCTTCTCCAGGGTAGGCAATCTGAAGTTTCTGCATATTTTCTCAAATCCCTGTTGAACATTACTGAAAAATAGTGTGCTTTCTTCCAATATTGAAACAGGAAAATTTCAACAACTAATACCTGTCCTAAAATAGGCTTAAACAGCCCTAAGAACCGCCCCCCCTGAATTTTGCTCCAAATCATAGCAATATCGTTTCCACTGTGGATCCTGCAATCCCAACTGTTTATGGAAACATTCACCAAAAAATTGCCAGTCTACCTTAATATTACTTACATCAAACAAGTGTCCTCTAAGTTTACTGAGATAAGGCACAAAAATCCTATCTAAAATTTATAAAGATTTTTGAATCAAACATCTAAATTAGACATTCTTGTTCATCCCTGTTGTTATCTTGAACCCACATGGCAAAACTTCCCCTTACAATTTATACAATTGTGAATGTGAACAATGAACGGCATGCCACAGCAGACTTTTAGCACCTAGTTGACCTTGGCTGATTTTGAAAAAGCAAAGACAGACCAGGTTATTTCGATGCCAGGCCACTAGGAAACTCCGGAGCTACAGCCTACTCTTGAGAAATTTGTAAAAAAATTGTAGAAGAAAACATTGGAAATTTTCTTCATGAAGAAAACTGACAATTGTGTCCATGCATTCACCTGCACTTGTGTTCCACTCAAGGGAATCTTGGCACTTAATAATTTCATCTATCCCAGTACAGATTAAGACAGTCAATAGCTAGTTTCAAGTTCACTATTTCTAAACATGAACTTAGAAGTTCATGTAGCTTTGTCATTTCCCTGCAGGGATGTCAAACTGGTGGCCCATAGGCCAGATGTGTCACACACAGGCCATGCCAACCCCAGCTCTGCAAAGGCAAAAGTTGCAATGTTGGGTGACATCGTTAGGTGACATTGTCACGTGCTGAGTTTGACACCCGTGCCTTAATACATGTTCAAAAAAAGAGTAAGTGGGGTTATTTTTTGTAAAGGGTATATAGTCCCAGAGCAAATGAATATACAGGTGAAACTCAAAAAATTAGAATATCGTGCAAAAGTTCATTTATTTCAGTAATGCAACTTAAAATGTGAAACTAATATATGAGATAGACTCATTACATGCAAAGCAAGATAGTTCAAGCCATGATTTGTCATAATTGTGATGATTATGGCTTACAGCTCATGAAAACTCCAAATCCACAATCTCAGAAAATTAGAATATTACATGCAATCAATAAAACAAGGATTGTACATAGAACAACATTGGACCTCTGAAAAGTATAAGCATGCATATGTACTCAGTACTTGGTTGGGGCCCCTTTTGCAGCAATTACTGCCTCAATGCGGCGTGGCATGGAAGCTATCAGCCTGTGGCACTGCTGAGGTGTTATGGAAGACCAGGATGCTTCAATAGCAGCCTTCAGCTCTTCTGCATTGTTCAGTCTCATGTCTCACATCTTTCTCTTGGCAATGCCCCATAGATTCTCTATGGGGATCAGGTCGGGCGAGTTTGCTGGCCAATCAAGCACAGTAATCCCACGGTCATTGAACCAGGTTTTGGTGCTGTTGGCAGTGTGGGCAGGTGCCAAGTCCTGCTGGAAAATGTCAGCATCCCCATAAAGCTCATCTGCGTAAGGAAGCATGAAGTACTCCAAAATCTCCTGGTAGACGGCTGCATTGACCCTGGACTTAATGAAGCACAGTGGACCAACACCAGCAGATGACATGGCTCCCCAAATCAACACAGACTGTGGAAACTTCACACTGGACTTCACACATCTTGCAGTGTATGCCTCTCCATTCTTCCTCCAGACTCTGGGTCCTCAGTTTCCAAATGAGATGCAAAAGTTGCTCTCATCAGAAAAGAGGACTTTGGACCACTGAGCAGCAGACCAGTTCTGTTTTTCTTTAGTCCAGGTAAGATGCTTCTGACGTTTGTTGTGCAGGAGCGGTTTGACAAGAGGAATACAACATTTGAAGCCCATGTCCAGGATCCATTTGTGTGTAGTGGCTCTTGATGCACTGACTCCAGCCTCAGTCCACTCCTTGTGAAAGTCCCCAACACTTTTGAATGGCCTTTTCCTGACAATCCTCTCCAGGCTGCGGTCATCCCTGCTGCTTGTGCACCTTTTTCTTCCACACTTTTCCCTTCCACATAACTTTCTTTTAATGTGCTTTGATACAGCACTTTGGGAACATCCAACTTCTTTTGCAATTACTTTTTGAGGCTTTCCCTCCTTATGGAGGGTGTCAATGATGGTTTTCTGCACAACTGTCAGGTCAGCAGTCTTTCCCATGATTGTGCTTCCTACTGAACCAGACTGAGAGACCATTTAAAGGCTCAGGAACCCTTTGCAGGTCTTATGGCTTAACTAGCTGATTAGAGTGATAACAGATAACAGATAATCAGAGTTGGAAGGGACCTTGTAGGTCATCTAGTCCAAACCCCCACACTATTTCTGACAAATGGCAGTCCAATCTCTTCTTGAAAGTCTCAAGTGATGGCGCTCCCACAACTTCCAAGGGCAAGGTGTTCCATTGGTTAATTGTTCTCACTGTCAGAAAGTTTCTCCTTATTTCCAGATTAAATCTCTCCTTTTTCGGTTTCCAGTGGAAAACTTTGTGGGACACTTTGAGCCTAGAATATTGAACCTTTTCACAATACTCTAATTTTCTGAGATTGTGGATCTGGGGTTTTCATGAGCTGTAAGCCATCATCATCTCAATTATGACACATCACGGCTTGAACTATCTTGCTTTGCATGTAATGAGTCTATCTCATATATTAGTTTTGCCTTTTAAGTAGCACTACTGAAATAAATGAACTTTTGCACGATATTCTAATTTTTTGAGTTTCACCTGTAGAGGCACAGCAAACCCACATGCTCGCCTTTTTCTCTTCATAAAGCAATGTCTACGAGAAGCTACTACTGAAAATGAAGGAGACCCCCCCCCCTTTTGCCTGTCCCTCAGGAAATCTTTTGATTTTCATTATTCCTGAATACTTAATGAAAGGTCTTATTGGACCTCATCTTTTAGCAGCTAATTATTTCTGGAGACTAAGGAAAAAACTGCAGCCAAACCAGGTAGAAGCTGCTTTGGGACTGATGATGTCCACAGATTGTGTTGATACTGCAGATGATTTTCATTAGAAATAACAGGATATGAATGTCTATATTAATCCTTTGCACCTGAACTATTCCAAGAATCCACTTGATTTGTTTTCTAATAAATAGAAATTACTTCAGCCATAGAGGCACAGGGCACTCTGTATGAATTCAAAAGATGCCAGAAATTAGAGAAGTTGACTTAGAACATGAACAAGTTCAACTAGCATTTTAATTTTCCACTGTAAAATACTTTGCAGAATTATTTCCTGCAGACACATTATGGAGTAGAGATGAAACATGTAATGAAACAAAGCCTTCAAATTAACATTAAGATTTTTTTAAAAAAACATTAAGTGAAAAATAATTAGAAAGTTTATGGCATACATTGGCCTGTGATTAAAAAAATATAGAGAATACTGTAATGGGCAAATTGAAGAAAGCACTACGGCATCATTTTTGATAGGGAAAATGCTTTTAAACAGAATGTTCAGAATGTTTTAAATACAGATATGGTTAGAATGCTGAAACTTCAATTACTTAAAATCTACTAAGTGAAAATGAAATTGTACCAGTTCTGAAAAAAATCCATGACAACTACCTCTGTAAAGTATAAAAGCAACTAGGCATTGCATTCAATCCACCGCTCCTATGTAAAGAAAAACTTTTAATAAGCAATTTAAGCAAAGGATTTGACAAAATACAGGTTTAAGAAAAACATAGGCAAGATAGAATTGGACTTCAGAGTATTTTTGTTTCATAGATTGAGCCAGATGAAGGCATACTGAGTATAAAAATTCCATGGCTCAAGAATTCAATTTTTTATGGAGATTCTTGATTTCATGCCTTGAGGTTTTTATAAAAATGGTAAGGTCAAGTGAATACTATGTAGCAGACTCTTGGGTTCTATGCTGTTCCCAGCAGAGCAATTAAAACCCCAGGCAGAAAACAGACTTCCCACAATGCCATCAAGAATTTTGTCTGTAGCATTATTAAGATTATGCTACTATAATCACAGTAACACTGTTAACAATCCAATGAAGTGGCAAAATTTTGCCCATTTTATAATTCTCATTTTAAAATAATCACTTTAATGGGGAAAAATGTTGCGATGCTTTTTATATGTTGCTCACACATCTCTCATGTTCCCAGCAGTTCCCATGAAGTCTAAAAATCAGCTGACTGAGCTTGCAGTTTCTTTTGGCAATGGTTCTGGGAACGAAGACAAGTTCACTTTGCAGTGTATCTTTCCTTTCCCTTTTTAAACCTCCATATGCACCCATACACAAACGTAGTTCTTTGATTACTCAGGGAGGTCAAATAGGATAAAAAATAGACCAAAATAATTTGCAATTATGAGAATTTAAATGCAGGCTTGTTTAGTTCACATTCTTCCAAACAGTAACAAAGCCATCACAAGCATCAAGTTTTATGTTTCTATCCAC